AATCCCAAACCCCCCCCCCCCCCCCCAGCTTGGGAGAAGGCATTTGTCTCTTTAAATCCCTTTGCCAAGACAGCCGTCAGGGGGTGGGGATTGGAGGATGCATTTAAATTTATATCTGTTTTTACCCCTTTTGGTTTTATTTTTGGCTGCCTCATTTAATGGTAATAAAAAGCAAATGTGCGTATTTTCCAATAGAAACGTGTGTGTAATATTTGTTCCTGTCCTGTGGCTCTCAAACATCTGACGTTTATTCTGTGTGGCTCTTGCGTTAAGCAGGTTCGGCCACCCTTGTCCTAAGGGTCCATGGACTGCAGGTTAAGAACCCCTGATCTAGATGAACAAAGAGGCTGCTTTGCCAAAAGTGGCCGGAAACAAAAAGGCTTCCCAGTTACCTCGGTGAATGAATTGACTGATGAGACAGCGGCGCTCGTGATGGGGGTTTGCTGAGCCAGCAGCTCCAGCAGCTCCACGGAAATCCCAATCTGGGCTACTGATGGCGTTTGAGGGATATTCATGGCTCCAAAGGGATGCTGGCTGCCTTTCCCTAAAAAGAAAAAAAGACATCACAGGTGGCCTTGAGGCGTCAGCCCGGTCTCTCTGCAGAAGCACAATGCTGGACACGTCCTAACAAATGCCAAATCAAAACGCCTTTTCTCAAAAAGCACAGTACTTCAAAACCACAAATCGTTAGTGTAATGATTCCTTGTTTTATATGTGTGTGTGTCTCTTTAAAAGTTTGGTTGCATGGCTGTGTGATGGACTAGAGTGCTTGAAGAGACAAGTGTGGTGTGATTGGTGATTGACAGAGAGGGGGAGGGGTTTTAGAAAGTGTTTCTGAGTGGATGAATGGGTATGTCCTTCAGGAGTGACAGTTAGAGGTTTGACAGTTGATAAAGACAGTTGTTAAGTTAGATCTGAAGTCTGGGAGAGAAGCAGTTTTGTGTGGGCTTAGGAGTTATTTCTGTGTATGAAGAAAAGTTGAATGTATATGAAACAAGAAAGTAAAGTTAAAGAGAAAAATAAAAAGTCTGAGTGACAGGCTAAAGTGAAACAGTAAACATATATGGCCTTAAGGAAAAAAGTGTTACAAAGTTACATGCCAAGACCCCTGACAGTGAGAGAGAAAAGTGTGTGAAATACCAAAGCAATTGTTTAGTATTTACCCATTCCTAGTTACAGTGTACTACCATATTATTTACAAATTATATCAATAAATCAACTTTTATTTAAGATACCAGTTCTGAAAGAAATACTTCCCAGGACCACATTAGTACCTCGAAAGCCTAAAACCTCGACCTACCTACCCAGTGATAGCCAAAAGAAAGTATAAAGGTTTGGAAAGCCTAAGAATTTCCTGGTGGCAGCCGGATATACACAGTAAACCAAAACATAAAGAACACTTTAAAGGGAAACCAGACCTCCCCAGATAAGGGGTCGTCACAGTTAGCAACAGCAGAAGGAGAAGGTGTGGAAGGAAGGAATTAAGCTGGCTTTGAAGGACAATAAAATGTGTCTGGCCAAACACAAACAGTGTGAGGGGGGCCGTGGCCCAGCGGCAGAGCCCCTGCTTGGCATGCAGAAGGTCCCAGGTTCCGTCTCCAGCATCTCCAGCTAAAAGGGTCAGGTAGGAGGTGATGTGAAAGACCTCAGCCTGAGACCATGAGTAGGCTATACTGACCTCAGTGGACAGACGGTCTGAATAGTCTTGACTCAACCTGATCTTAACTGTTACCATTTGGATGCAAGTTACACTGAAATTGTGAATTGTAAAGCATGGTACATGAAGAAAGTGCTGCAAAAAGGATTAGCGTTTGAGATGGAGATCAGGTAGGGCATCTTCTTGGCACGCAGAAGGTCCCAAATTCAATCCCTGGCATCTCCAGCTAAAAGGACCAGGTGATGTGAAGGAACCTCTACCTGAGATCTGGAGCCAGCCTAGGCCGGGAGGGAGGGATAAAAATCTAACAAATAAAATAAAGAAATAAAGAAATAAAACTCCTGCCAATCGGAGTAGATAGACTAATGGTCTGATCCAGTTTAAGGCAGCTTTGCGTGTTCCTGCAGTTTTGCTTCATCAGCCATTTGAGGCTCATACGAATCATTTCTGAACACAGCATTGGGTGTGAGTCCACATCAGCATGAAACAGTCTGGCTGCCTTCTGCCTCAGACCTCTAGTTTCCCTACTCAGTGTGGTCCACCTGCTTCAGAAATAGCTCTCCAGGCCTGGGGCAGAGAAAGGTCTTTCTTTCCTGAAACCTACAGCCCGAGACCCTTTTACCTGAGACGCCAGGGACTCCACACTGGACCACTTCTGCAGGGCCAGGGTAGTGTAGCCGTCACAGTGCCAGGCTGGGATCGGGGATACTCCAAGTTCAAATCCCCACCCTGCCATCAAAGCTCTACTGGGTGACCTTAGGCTAGCCACACAGACTCGGCCTAACCTACCTCACAGGGTTGTTGTGAGACCTAAATGTTAAGGAGAGGAGAATGAAGTCAGCCCCTTTGGGTCCCCATAGGAGAGGAAGGCAGAGTATAAGTGAACTGGATAAATAAAGTAATTAAATACAAAGCATGTACCCTGCCACTGAACCATGGCCCCTCCCAATGAAAATGCATGGCTGGCATCAGAAGCCACAGACCCAAGTATCTGATTTTTAATCATCTAAAGCCCATTCCAAGGTTCCATCACCCCACATCATGAGATGCTACTTGCAGGACTGGGGAAGTCAGGTTTTGATGATGTCATAGCATGGAGTACTGTGTGCAGTTCTGGAGGCCCCACCTCAAAAAGGATGTGGACAGAATGGAGCGGGTGCAGAGGAGAGCAACGAGGATGATCGGGGGCCTGGAGACCAAGCCCTGTGAGGAAAGGCTGAGGGACTTGGGAAGGTTCAGTTTGGAGAACAGGAGGTTGAGGGGGGATGTGATGGCGCTCTTGAAGTATTTGAAGGACTTTAACTTAGGAGAGGGCAGGGAACTGCTCCTTTTGGCAGCAGAGGATAGGATTCACAATCATGGGTGTATATTAAGGGCAAGAAGGTACCAGCTGATCTTAGGAAAAAAATTTTACAGTCAGAGTTGCACAACAGTGGAACCAGCTGCCTAGGGAGGTGGTGAACTTCCCTCCCTGGCAGTCTTCAAGCAGCGGCTGGACAAACCCTTGCCAGGGATGCTCTAGGCTGATCCTGCACTGAGCAGGGGGTTGAGCTAGATGGCCTGTGTGGCCCCTTCCAACTCTGCGATTCTATGATTCTCTGAGTTTTATAGTACTCAACGTGACTGGGGAGAAGCAGATACCAGGCTGTAGGTTCTGGCCTCAGAACAGCACCCGTTTCCTTAATGCCGTGACAAAAAGTACACTAGGCCAACCCCCCCCCCCCAAGCAAGCCATCGCTTTTCCCCTATTTGTTTGAGCAGAGCTGTAAGAAAGAGTGAAGCACTTCCCCAGGTTCCAGGACCCAAGACAAAGCACGGCTCTGTGAGACAGGAGCACTAGAACGGAATGACAAACGGAATGATCTCTCCCCCATTCTTACCAGATCTCAAGCCGGAGATTTTGAAGATGGCGCTCGGTTTCTCGTTCGTGACAAAGCCTAGCAGCTGCCACACCGCCACCCCGTTCTCGTCGGGATAGCAGAAGTAGACCGACCCGCCCATGCCCTCGGGGAAAGGCACGGTCCCCAGCATGAAGACCACCACATGGTTGATGCTCTCGTAGTCAGGCAAGTCGAACACAAACTTGTCTTCCGCTACCTGATGCGCAGCTGTCTGCACCTACAAAATAAAACCTGGTTAGAAGAAGAAAAAGGAGGAGATTGGATTTATACCCCGCCCTTCACTTGGGAGTCTCAGAATGGCTCACAAACTCCTTTTCCCTTCCCCTCCCCACAACAGACACCCTGGGAGGTGGGTGGGGCTGAGAGAGCTCTTTCAAGAACTGCCCTTTCAAGGACAGCTCTTGTCAGAACTATGACTTGCCCGAGGTCATCCAGCAGCTGCAACTGGAGGAGCGGGGAATCAAGTCCACGCACTTAACCACTGCACCAAATTGGCTTTCACACCAAACTGGTTACTGCTGTGAGCTCCTGCCCCATCCATACGTCACTGCCCCTCACCAAATGGCAATAGTTTCTAGATAGTGGAACGAAAGAGCAGGTAAATATGCTTTGACTCACACGGGAAGCCAAGCACACTACTAGGGAAAATGAGAACTACCTGGATGGCCTTACATGAACATATGAAGCTGCCCTACACTGAATCAGACCACTGGTTTATCAGTCAGTATTGTGTACTCAGACTGGGTCTCAGGCTGAGGTCTTTCCTATGAAATGCTGCCTGGTCCTTTTTAACTGGAGATCCTGGGTGCTGAACCTGGGACTTTCTGCATGCCAAGCAGAGGTCCTACCACTGACCCACATCCCTCTTCAAATCAGAGGCAGAGGTACAGCTCCAGAATACTTTGCTATCACTCAGTGATAGGGTTACAGCCCCGCAATGGGCTGACAGTGTGAGTCGGTGCTTAAACGCTGTGCAGGAGTCCGCTAAAAAAAGATCTGGTAGTTGACACTGGTCTAAACAGAGAAATGTTTAAGAAATAAGTTATGACTGTCACATAAATTTCATAGGTAGGTTATACTGCCGTCCTGGCCTGATTTATTTATTTTTTGCTAAAAAAAATTGTTACAACAAAATTGAGCTGTAGAAAATTTGTGGCGGGGTATGAGCTCCTAGCCTGTCACAAATTTTGTTGGTCTTTAAGGTGTTACTGGCCTCATGTTCTTTTCTGCTGCTACAGACAGACTAAAACGGCTGTCTATCTTGATCTAACAAAACTGAGCAACAACTAAAAGGAAACATGCAACGTTTGCGATACCTTACTCCGCAAGCACATGACCCCACCCTGCCATTTAAAAACACGTGGATGCTAATTTATCCTGAAACATCAGTTCAGTTTGCTGTCTTGAATATGCCAGTTTGCAAGGGGTGAGAGAAGAGAGCAGCAGTGGCCTGACGACAGTATTAAAAGATGAGTAACATAAAAAGAGATGGGCAGCTATAGTAGCCAGGTAATCTAGACCAGCAAATAACATGGAATAAGTGCTGGGTCATACGTAGCCTGTGGGCATCAAATATCTTAAGAACATAAGAAGAGACCTGCTGGATCAGAGCAGTGGTCCATCTGGTCCAGCACGTGGTCTCACACAGTGGTCAAAAAAACAGAAGGACTTTGAGAATAGTTGCTTCAAGTGTTATTTTACCACTCGTGTTTTTCGTAAGTAGTTTTATAAATCCATGTACAAACTCTTAGTATAAGACATTCCATACAAAAATCTAAGTGTATATTCAAGACCAACCCTATACAAAAATCTCAAGTCCAAATACTCTTAACGAAGATTGCAGATTATTCCTTTGTTTCAAATGTCTTCTTCAAAGATGGACAAGTGGGGGATGGGGGAGTAGGGTTGCCGGCTCCGGGTCAGGAAACTCCTGGAGATTTGGAGATGGAGCCTGGTGAGGACAGGGACATCGGTGGGATACAATGCCACAGAGTCCACCTGCCAAAGAATCTGTTTTCTCCAGGGAACCAGACCTCCATAGTCTGGAGATGAGCTGTGATTCCAGTGAATCCCCAAGTCCCACCTGGAGGCTGATATCCCTAGCTCCAGTTGACATTAAAGACAGTACATGTTCTGGCAGAAGCAGTGTACAAAGCCTGGGTCCCAGGCGTTCATGGATCCTTCCCAGTGCCCTGTTGCTTAGATAACATGGGCACTGGAGCTTTCTATTTACCTGACATGAAGCAAAGGTCCTTTCTGTTATTGTTTATTGCGCCATCTGTTCTTTTACCGTTTTTTCTGCTTTTATTTATTTATTTATTTATTTTTCACATTTATACCCCGCCCTCCCCGATGGGCTCAGGGCGGCTTACAGAGGCAAGGCAAGAACCTTGCCATAATAAAACATCATATGCATAATAATAGAAAACATATAATACATCTTAAAATATCCTCAATTAAAACATGGCGCTCAATACTTCCAACACTCTGGTGGGATAGGGTGGGGTATAAATTAAATAAATAAACAAACCAGCTTTTCGCCAATTTGTCTGACAAAGCTGTATCTGGAAAGCTCATTCCCCCCCCCCCAAAAAAAATCATGGTACCTGAAGAAGTGAGCAGTGATTCACAAAAGCTCCTCCCCTGCCACAAATTTTGTTAGTCTTGAAGGTGCTCCTGGACTCCCGCTCTTTTCTCTGCTACGGACAGACTAACGCGGCTCCCCATCTCGAGCTATCCCCAAAATCTTGTTGGTCTCCAAGATGCCCCTGGGTTCAAATCTAGCCCTTCTATCAGAGACCAACACGCCTCCCCTCTGAAACCAGCTTCTCACAAGGTGCCCCCAAACTCTGCTGCCTAAGAACTAAGGGAAACGTGGATTACAGACAGTAGCACCACTTATTTGAGATGTTTATACGTCGCTTTTCTCCTAGAACTCAGGGAAAGTTCTAGAACGACAAATCCCCTATTCATTCCTCAAGAGGCCCCCCTGGGGGCGCTCTAGGGTTGCCATGGAAGCCCGCTCTTCTTCCCTCCCCCCCGCCCCAGCAACCTGCCGTTCCCAAGGCAACTTTCGCTCTCGTTTCCATAGAGACCGGTGTCCCTCCCACCCACTCCGTCTTCCTCCGCCGCCACTCACCAGTCGCCCGGCCACCAAGCAGCCAAACATGGCACCGCCCCCTCAAGGCCTCTCGCGGTGGATTCTTCCAGGCGCCTACCGACTTATCCGCCCAGGCGAGCACTTTCGTGCCCTCTGCCACCCCGCCCCCAGAAGCACATCCGGGGCAGGCGGAAGAAAGGGATTGCCATGGCGCCGCGAATTCTTTTTTAGTCTCTTGCCTTCCATCGTGAGAGACTACGTGTCCCAGAATGCATCACGGTCCCATCTCGGTAGCTCCACGAGCACTTCCGGTCTAAAGCCACATCCGCCACATCATTAAAGAGGGCTGGAGCGGCATCCTAGCAGATTTCGTGATTTAGGGTTTTTTTGGAAGTTGAGGATGTTTGCCGTTTTATCTTAAGCACTTGATCTATCTCCCGCTTTCCTTCCCAATGGCTACCCAAAGTGGCTTGCATCATTCTCCTCTCCTCCATTTTATCAGTGTTTCTTTTCAGGGTTGCCAGCCTCCAGGTGGGGCCTGGAGATCTCCCGCTTTTACAACTGATCTCCAGCTGACAGAGATCAGCTCCCCTGGAGAAAATGGCTGCTTTGAAGGGTGGACTCTATGGCATACTGTACCATGCTGAGTGCATTGTGGGCAGTGTTCCCTCTAAGCTGAGTTAGTGAGCTAGCTCAGTGTTTTAGCCTCCAGCTCACACATTTTTGTCTCAGCTCAGGAAGGACGGCTCCAGAGCAAACTAATTTATGCAGCAGCCAAGTCACTCACTCACAACTTTAATGCCAGCAGCTCACAAAGTAGAATTTCTGCTCACAAGACTCCACAGCTTAGAGGGAGCATTGATTGTGGGTACTGTTGCCTTCATGTTTGGGGAACTCTTTCACTGCCCCAAGCTGTCCACTGCGCTTTGACTAACGATATTATTACCTCATCTTCCCACTATGGCCTTTTCTCACACAAGTGCCCTGCTCCTGGCATTTCAGAATGCAAGTGTGTTCATGTGATTGAATGCTCTCCCATTCACCTAACCAAAGAATCCTTCCGCTGTTGAGAGAATTGATTACATTTTCATTCTGTTCTTCCTCCAATGAGCAGAGGGTGTGCAACATTTTTCCCTTTCACAATGACCCCATAAAGGTGGTTCAAGTGGGTAGCCATGTTGGTCTGAAGCAAGAGAACAAAGTTTGAGTCTAATGGCACCTTTAAGATCCACAAAGTTTAATTCTGGGCATAACCTTTCATGTGCATGCATACTTCTGAAGTATGCATGAACATGAAAACTTATACCCAGAATTAAACTTTGTGGGTCTTAAAGGTGTTACTGGACTCAAACTTTGTCCCATAAGGGTGGTTAGGCTGAGAGGAAGAGTGGGTGGCCAAAGATCACCCAGGGAGTTTCATGAACAAGAGAAAACTTAACCCCGGCTTTCTCATTCTAACCCCTGGACCACATGAACTAATCTTCCTGATGTGTTAGAGGTCATCTTTTTTTAATGAATACACACTGAATTATGTGAACCTTGTGTCTGAACTGGTACAGCCTGGGCACAGTTCTGTCATCTCCGTTACAACTTGGGCCTTTGGGCACCTTGCGTGGTTCACAGGTACAGAACAATTAGGTGCTGCACCCTTGTGATAGGACGAACTTTAAAAGTTCCGACCGTGCCTAATGAATTCCAGCTCTGAAGGTTCCTCTTCTTTCTTTTTTTAAAACCCTCCCTGCATATATAAAGCAGCCCAGCATTAAGCCCCCTAACTCTTTTGCTTACTGAGCTCGTTGTCTGTTTACAAGAACTAGGGGAAACATGCCATGATGTGATCTGTGAAATGTAGACTGCAATACGTACTACGTTATTATATTCCACTGTTGTAATTATGTAACCAGTTTTATTCCATTATTCATTTTCTGTGTTATACTTTTTTTGCATTGTTCATTTAACTCTATAATCTGCCTTCCGTTTCAACAAGAAATGCAATGATGTAAAAAAATTAATCTGTCCCTTAATTCTTGTGTACGGAAACCAGGCCTAATCTCAGGAAACTGAATTCACATCTTTACCTATAAGCACAAGTCGTAGCTGGGGGGGTTGCGTTACTGGGAGATATACACGCCACTGCCTTTCTCTGCAGTTAACTGGTTGGTGTCTCGTACGTGACCTACATTCTCTTGTCCCTTGTCCTTGATCTCTTTCCAAGGGCATGAGGTTATGTCAGCTGAAACTGGTATCCTGTCATGGTTAGATCATACTTATACAACTGCTGCAAGAGGCTGTGAATCTTTTATTCAAGGTATGAGCATGTGCACGCACACTTCATCAGATACACTGAAATGGAAGTTAACCGTTCATATATATATACAGATGCTTCTACATAGGTAAACAGCAAATTAGCATACAATGAAGATGTTTTGACATATGCAAAGGCCAAACAACAATAACAAGGTATGTATATATGGCTACCAGGTCACCATTTGTTTGGATTTAATTAGGGGAGAAAAACAGTGTAGTAATAAATCTGTCTCTGTTTTGTATTTCTCTTTACAATTAAGATAAATTACAATTAAAATCAAATCAATCAAATCACATCTGTCTCCTATTTTGACGTATTTAGCACTCCACTGTCGTTGTCGGTGTCCCAATTAAATTCAAACAAATGGTGATCTGGTGATTGTATATACTCAGCTTGTTATTGCTGTTTGGCCTTTGCATATGTCAAAACATCTTCATTAAGTTGTATGCTAATTTGCTGTTCACCTATGTAGAGGCATCCATCTAGATATACAAACTGAACTTCCACTTCAATGTGGAGCCAGTTTGGTGTAGTGGTTAAGTGTGCGGACTCTAATCTGGGAGAACCGGGTTTGATTCCCCACTCCTCCACTTGCACCTGCTGATGTGACCTTGGGTCGGTCACAAGCTCTGGCACAGCTGTCCTTGAAAAAGAGCAGTTTGTGTCAGAGTTCTCTCAGCCCCAGCCACCTCACAGGGTGTCTGTTGTGGGGAGGGGAAGGGAAAGGAGTTTGTAAGCTGCTCTGAGACTCCAAGTGAAGGGCGGGGTATAAATCCAATCTCTTCTTCTTCATCTTCATCTGAGGAAGTGTGCCTGCACACGAAAGCTCATACCTTGAATAAAACTTTGTTGGTTTTATAGGTGCCACTAGACTCTAACTTTACCCTGTGAGGGAGATTAGGCCAAGAATGACTGCCACAGAGCCTCCCAGCAAGGTTCCATGGCAGACTTGGGAATCAAACCTGGGTTTCCCAGATCTTAATCCAACACTAACCACTACACAAGGCTGTCACACGTATCACACAAATGTTTGAAAATTAGCACTATGAATGAGTTTGCTGCATTCATGCTAAGCAAAAAGGACCTCCTAGTGATACCACACTGCCCTTCCTAGAAGACAGTCGTTTCTGAAATGAACAAGATTATTTTATTACTTTTTTAGTAAATTTGACTAGGTTGACAGAAGTTGTTTGGGGGGGGGGTTGGACTGGGTCGATGGAAGCCTTACCTCTGTAAACAGTCACCCGAAAAAAAGTTGTGGTGAGGCAGAATATCCCTAGATTGCCAACTGCTCATACTGAGTTTAAAATGGACAAGAAACCAAACCTTTACAAAAATATTTTTTAATTAAAAAGCAGCAGATTACAAACAGGACAAGGATACTACCAAAACCAAAATGTAAACACGGCTAGTTTCAGGTGATCGCGCGCGTGGGGGGGGGGGGGAGACAATTCAAAGCAGTTATGTTACTAGCAAGACAGCAAATACTCTTTGACACAAAAAGCAATATATATATATATAGATATAGATATATAGAGAGACGCGTCTTGTACTCTGCAGTTCGAAGTCGGTCACCGCAGCCTGTCCCAGCGCCAGATACTGGCGTCGTCACACACGGCTATGAGGATACTGCTGTCTCTGCTGAAGCTGGTTTGTCGAATTGCAGCAGCACATTTTGGATGAGTAAGAGTTGTGCACCTGTTGCAAAAAAAATTAGACTGTAAGAATCGGGTCTGTATTTCTCATCATTTGCTTGCCCTCTGTATTTCTCATCATTTGCCTAGTTACAGGACAGATGGACAATATGGAACACTAAGGATATAGGCCAGGGTTTTGCCACCGTGGTATCTGAGCACTGTCTAGAGGTGGGACCTTTCTCTCTCACCTGCTTTTCAAGCGTTCCTGAGTTTTTAAACGGCTAGTAGAGAACTCTCCTTTCTCCCGGCTACGGTAAGGCATGGTCCAGATAACGTGCAAAACCACGATTTGTTTTAAAATATGGCTAGCTTGTAAAACTAGGATGCAGCTCACAATCACTCAAACTGTGGTTTGGCGTGACAAATGATGGGTTGGCTGCCTTCTCGCCATGACCTGGGCAGGCATCACCAGAAAATAAGCCAGGATCAAACGACGATTAAGTCAGAGTTCAGACATCATGTGCAAAATATAATTAAGACTAACCGGGGACTAGGAGCAGCTGGCCTATGAGTATCAGCTAAAAAGCCTGAGGCCATTTAGCCTAGAAAAAAAGGTAAGGGGAGTTATGAGAGAGATTTATAAAATTATGCATTGTGTAGAGAGATCTAATCCTTCGGGTCTGATCCGGCATGGCTCTTCTTATGTTCTAACTGTGGCTAATAAAACAACCTCATAATCCTGGCTTGATTAATATTAACCACACAGTAGAGTAACCTGCAATTTTCCTTCTCCCATAATACTAAAACCTGGGATCATCCACGGAGGCTGACCAGGGTGGGAGATTCTGGACAGACAGAAGGAAGTACTTCTTCACATGTGTATAGTGAAACTGACTGCCACAGGATGTGCTCATAGCCACCAACCTGGAAGGCAGTGGACAAATTCATGGAGGACTGGGCTATCGATGGCCACTAATCATGTTAATGTTTTTTCTACTCCCTCCAGTACCAGATAGTATGCCTCCTTAAATCAGTTGATGGGGGAGTACAGGCAGGATGGTACTGTTACAGACTGTTACAGACTTCCTGTTTGTGGGCTATGCAAACCGAATGCTGGACTAAATGGGCCCTTGGTCTGATCCAGCACAGCTCTTATGTTCTAACTGTGGTTAAGAAGCCAACCACATGTGTTGGCTTGACAAATA